GAAAAGATAACTTTAAAAAAACCAAAGCTACAAAGCCAAAGGGTAATATCAGTACTTGAGAAGCAGGAAGGTAAAGAGTTATTTCATTGTCTTCATAATTAAAGCACAGCCCTCAGCCTGCTACCCAAAACCCTACCTAGTAACAAAAATGGTTCAGCTGCATTCCTAAAGACAGTTTCACTGAGATTCTAGGAAAAGCTCAGCACTCTTTTTGGGAAACACTAAGAAAAATTACCAAGAAAGTAATTAATTTAGTTTTTGAGACAGTGACTTAGTCCCAAGCTTGCAATCCCAATTGCATAAAGACATTTATCTCCCTAAGGCACCCACTATCCACAATGCAGTTGGCATAATTTACTTTCCTCCTCAAATACCAACTGTATTTCTTGGAAAGCCCACACAAACCACTCTGAAACGACACAGATGACATGTAAAAATGAATTTTATTGATGCCCTTGCTGAAGGTTATATTTGCACTGAACATGCTCAGCAGTAAGGCCACTCTCTATGGCATTCATCAGTTGCACTGGAACTTGCAATTCCACAAGCATGATGCCACTCATCCACTGCAAGTATCTGTCACATGCAAACCAGAATGTATGTTATCCTTCGCTTGGGGTCACCTTGTTCTCTTCACAAGCATGAACTGTACGTGTGGGACTCCACAGCCACCTGACAGATGCTGTAGTCACATGTACAGCAGCTTAGGGACAAGTGATGCTACCACAGAGAAAATACATTGGCATCTAGTGGCCAAAGAGCACATTACAGACAATACGGAACAGTGCAGATGCCTCCCATTTCATATTTATGCTGTACAGAGAGATGCAGCACAGATTGGAACGGGCAGATGCAGCAACAGCTCCTGCAGAAGAGATGGTCCCAGTGAAAAATCCAGCGTAGGCTTGAATCCACCTGCACCGCAGCCAACTGGTACAGGAACTGGAATGAGGTAAGACAGCCAGAAACACTACAAAGGTACCAGGACACAATTATCTCAAAGACAGACATCAGTGAGCAGGAGAACAGCAGTATCACCTTCATTTCTAACAGGCAGGCAGAGACAAAAAGAGGTTCCAACAAGTCACTAGGATAGTGATCATAATTTAGCCACAGCTTGTTTCCATCAGAGTGCTACATCTCCACAAAAATTCTCCTGCATCTCTGTCTCTTCCCTGACTCCCCAAAGAAACTAGGAGAATCCCTACCTTCAAATACTGACGAAATAAGAGAAGCAGAATTACATTCAGATGTCACCACCCATCAGTTATAAGATCACACGTGCTACAGTCAGCCCTTCACAGGACACCATGCAAAGATCTGGATGGATTTCCAGTTTATCTCCAGAGATTCAAGATATGTGGTGACCAAGATGGCTTATGAAATATCTAGAAAAAGCATCCACTACTTCCCTTCGTGGCACTATCCCCAATCTCAGGCTCCTTAACTTCGCATCCTGGGTGGGACAATCTACCTTTCCACTTCTTCCAGTCCCTTTTAGGCAAATGGCTATAAGATCTCTCTGCTGGCGAGAACTATATAGCTCTCCACCCTAATGCCCAGTGATGGAGAAGGGCAGATGCCAGATCATCACACTAGAGTTGAAGTTTGTGGAAATGCAACTTTGTATCACTCTACAAAGGAATAAAAGCCAACCAAAATATAAGGAAGAAGAGTTACAAAAGGCAGTAAAACCCTAGAATTTCCTTTAGGACAGCAAAATGAAGGTGATACAAGCTTAGATAGCTGACCCACTAATCCCAAGGGACCTGAACACCTCTCCCATCTGCCACTGTTCCAAATACTTCAGACTGAGCTAGGGATGAGATGGTTCAGGTCAACCTTCTTTTCCCTGCTCCCCAGCATCATAAGCACTGCCTCTCCTGCTCATGCTACTACAGGCAAGGGAGCAACCCTAAACAGATGGATGGGTAAGAGGCTGCATCCAACAGCCAGGGAGAGCAGAAACAGGAAAGTGCTCTTCCTCACTACCAGGATCCTCTAGGTTCGGACTTGGAACTTGCCAGCCTTAGTCATGTATTTTATCCCCTTGAAGGGCTTGTACTTCTCCCCATACATGTCCAAGCGATTCACCTTCAGTCCTAAAGGCAAACAAACACAGCGTAAGACTGACTGCTGCCACAAACAAAGCAGACCAGCCTTCAGGATAAAGGAACAGAAGATCATACTAGAGGTACAGAAAGCATAGGGGAAGTTTTAGCAAGCAGTAAACAGAACGGAGAAAAGCTGAAAACTGCCAATTGTCAGAATTATTCTTTGCAAACACATCCAAACCCTCAAATTCTTTATAGGTCTGTAAGCATGAAATGCAAGGAAATGTAGATAGGCTGTTTCACAGAGCATCAGAGAGCACAAATCCACATATCTGTAGTTAAAGCACATGAGTTTTTTACTTGAAGAACATGTTTCACATAGAATGTACTTCAGAAGGCCTGCAGAGCTACTTCAGCTATGTGCAGAGTGAGCACTGACACAGCAGTGAATATTCAGCTTCTTTACCTGACAGTCACTTACCAGATATAGCCAGCTGCTGAATTTTAAACTGCAGGTTAATGGTGGGGTTTTCATCTGGTTTTGATGTCCCAGCTTGCAGGCTTACACTTCCCTTCAGGCTTGGCAGCTTCTGGGGGTTTATTTTTCCCACATCCCATGACAGCAACTTCAAGGAACAGAAAATGCAGCAGTGAAACAGAAATGCCGTAACACCCTCTAAAGAAGAGGCCCCTTCCAATGACAGCTTTTAATGTTTCTTTATGGAGAAGGTCTTTGTCTTAGAATCTTGCCTTTCATATTGGACAGAGACAGTACAGGTTTAAGAAGCAGCTGCCTTGGACCTTTGTTCTCCCTCTCTCTTTCCACAAGGTTCCTCAAAAGCCTACCATGAATGATATTTCCACTACCTGTGCTACAGGACCCATTTCCTATGTGTAGCAGCAACAAAAATAATGCAGAATTGCCTCCTTTCCAAGTGGCTGAAGCAGTGTTGCTTGAGGCTGTACTGTGGATAAACCATCAAATTTAAAATTTGCAATAAGAAAAAAAAGTGATGGGGGGGGGGGGGGGGAAGAGGCAGGGCAAGGATCAAACAACAAAACCAGAGCACCCCAAAACAAATCAAAACCCACTAACCAACACAAATCCTCAGTGTTTGCAAAGCACCAGGTCTAACATACAGCACTAGGCACGACAACTAGATAGGCAGTAGTTTGTAAAGCATCCACCAGACTAATGACTCATCATACAATACCAGTTCTTGGATTTTCTGCATACACTAAGCAACCAGAACTACAATCCACTGACACTGAGCTATTTGTTGTGGGGATTAAGACAACTTCTAGTATGCAACTGTGCAAAAAGAGTTCTCGCCCCAAGAAGAGATACTGCCTTCTGAAATGCAATATTCAAGGAAACGTTCATGTAAACACGAACAGCTCAATTTCATTTGGTGAAAGGTAAAAAAGATTAAAAAAAAAAAGTATCTAATTTCTCTCTTTCCACTCACCTTTGTAACTGGATCAAAGATATGCGTTCCCTGAGACGGTGTGAGGGTCATATTTAAGACACTTTTTGGCATTTGGCTAGTGACCATCACTCCCTCTACAGTCTTCCCCATAGTCTGCTTCGGCCCCAGTGTGATCTCAAAACGTCCCAGTGAGCTGCTATCACGGAAACTGATGTTGTGTTTAACGTAGACAGGAATTGCCACAAGGCTAGAATGAAGACATGAACAGAAAGTCCTCGTCAACCTCTTGCCTTCATCTTTGCTTTTCCTGATGCAATCTTTTCCTTCTACACTGAAAACATTGGAAACCAGTCTCCTTAATAAAGAAGGAAATCCTACGCTCATTTGTTTGATCTAAGAGCAAAGTCAGAATCCTGTTCTCAAGTCTTAATTACACTTTCTTTATTCAAGCTTGCTGTATCTTAGTTTTCTACCTCTCTACGGGACGGGTAACTACATCCAATGTAACAGAAGACTTCAGCAAAGGACGAGGAATGTTTTTGCATGTCACAACCAAGCTGGCAATTAGTTCCAGGCAATGCAGCACCTGAACTTCATGTTTGTGCATTTGGTTGGGATTTCCCATTCTTTTTCACCTATTTGAGCTATGGCTGACAAAGTCTAACAAAATGCTTTAGCATCTGTAACCCAAATTAGTACTTGGTAAGCTGCTTCTAGAAAGGAGTGCAAACAGTAAACAAGAACTTGTAGTTCTATTAAAAGAGACGTCAAAAAAACAAGATTACCAAACTATCTTGTTTTATTCTAAAAGTTTTTTTATAAACATGGGAAATGAACACCTTGATTACTCCATACTGCCTAATTCTTTCCCTCTCCAATTTGTTAGTCTGCTACTAGTCTCTGAAAAATGCTGGCTGACCAAAAAGAAATGACAGAATCACTGCTCCAAACAAGGAGAAAACGCGTTTTAAAAAAAGGAGAGCCACAAGTTATCATGCGCCTCTACTTCATTTGACACAACGAGCTATCTGAGCTTTAAAAGCAGTTCCTCCCACCACCCTGCCCCCCAGCCAGGAAGACAGAAATTTTGTAATTCACAGCACTACATTCATCACCTACTTCTGAGCACTGACATGGTAGGAGAGCAAGCGAAAATTTCCATCAGGTGGAATGAAGGAAAGTATTCTCTCTGACTCCCAGCGCTTAAAACGCACACATGGATGAAAGCTGACATCATCCAACAACCGAGGGTTCTGAAATAAAAGAAAATCATAAGGTTAGTGAAGACAGTTTTACTGAAAATAACCTCCTGTTCTTCTCAATCTTCTATCCATGAAGGGCCAACCATTTGATGTACTCTGCCCACCTGAAGGCATCTACATTCAGACACGTTAAGCTGTTTGATGCAGTTACATCTGTGCAATATTAGTGCTCAACAACCTACATCCTATTTTAGAAAACTTAGTCATGTCAAATAATTACAGTGATGCATACTCATAAAAAAGCTGTCCCTTTAGGATATCTGCCTAAAGCACCACTGTATCTCAAACTTAGTCACAGCACACACTAAGAGTACTTTCGACAAAGAATCTGAAAATAAAACACTTAGGCTTAAAGTTGCTGAAGTTCACTGTGAGTTTCCATCGTCAGTTCTTTCCCTTTTTGTTTGGCGTACCCAAGTTCTAATCTACTGGAATCTATCAGTGCAGGACTGAGATCCTAGTAGCAGGGCTGGGAACCCCTTTTCAAAATACTTCAGTAAAGATACATCCTTGAACTTTACCATAAAGGAGAGGGTAAGGTCTGGCATCCCAGTCAGCTTGACACAAGCATCAATCACCCCTTGAATTTCAGCAGTAATTGTGGAACCTGCAACAATAAAGCAAACGTGGGAGGTGATGTGAACCAGATCAAAGAAATCACAATGTGTAAAAACTATCAATGAAGAGGAAGGAAATTTATTATCTTTATGAAATGTCATGGATCATTACGTTGCACATTCAACATTTTTCTCATTCCCAACGACTTCCAAAGAAGATGCATACAAATAAGAACCACTGAAACCAGCAATGTCCATTTAATGACTAATGACAATAACTCCCAATTCTAAGAAGACTAAGATGCACAAAAACTAAGGAGACAGCGCTATGCACAATTTTTACTCACCTTCTCTTTTCCCCATATAGAACTGCTTACAAGACCTCAGGAATAAGGACAAGTGAAAACCTTGGTACCTCTCTAAAATTCTTGACTGAATAACACCTACAAGTTGGCAACATTTCAGAGTAAGAGTAGGAACAGCACTTCCCACATTTAGATGAGGGAGCTCCTCTTTGAAAACCCAAATCTCTCTCCAGGCACTATCACAACAAGTTACCCTTGTCTTAACCAGAAGCAACTTCCATACCCGATTTGTCAATGATTGCATCTATCTCCTCAATCACATCAAAATACGCCTCATTGTTGGTATATTTTACACCGGTACGTCTCCAAGGCACCACTGATAGCTGCCCAGTAGGAAGCTGGTCACCCACATTAGTGCTTCCTGAAAAAAAGAAAGGCAATAACAACAATCACAGAAGTTAGACAATGCTCCAAAACAAGTCCTTGGCCTCAAGTAACTTAACTGTAATTAATTCCTGAGAACCTCTGTCTTTTTGTAGGAGAGCAATTAGTCTTCCAGACTCACTGTTTGTATTCTACAATATACATCTCATATCCAACTCTAAAACAAACTACAACAAGGATGTTAACGTCTAAATAAAAAGCAAAACAAAAAGAAAAGCCACCCCAACAAAAAACCTACACCAAACTAACTCATCCAGGAAGGCATGTCATGGCTGTAACTAGAAATGTAATCTGTCTCAGTAAAAAAAAAAAAAAAAAAAAAAAGTGCAGCTAGTGCTGGAACTGGAAGGAACCTCAAAGCAAAGCACTAACACAGGACTTCCTAAGATACAGCTATGCTGGGGTTTAGAATGGTAAGGGACAACAAATTTTCTTCGCCCATGTCCTAATTTACTCATGCAGCAATATTGCCACACAGCCTCCCCAGTTTATCTACTTTTTGTTTCCCTGTACCTGTGATGGTGTTGACAACTGTTCGCAGGATAGTGGGAGGTTTTATCAGTTCCTTAAGAATATTAGACTCTGTTGCCAATGGAAAGCCATTGTCCAGCATCTCCTCCAGCACCTCATAAACCACCACAACATTGTCCTTGATCATCACCTCTGAACAGACACCAAAATAATCCTGTGCAAAAGAAATCGTTACTTGACAATCTCTGAAAGAAAGCCTTAGTGATCATTCAGTTCAGTGTCCTCCCACAGAGAAGTAAATCCAGCATCTTCTTGGAGAAGGTGAAACAACGCTGTAACTCCGTATATTAGTACAAGCACAGCAGACAGACTGACCACTCCCACAGACATGTACAACTCTGAGCATACCTGTGCTGCTGCCCCAGCAAGCTGGCAAGTGACCGCATCATCATATGCTCTTCCTTCCTCTCTATATAAGAGGATTCCCTTTGACAGCTAAAGGATTTTTTAATCAGCACTTGAAAGTGGCTCAATCACAACCAATTAAGCAGCAATATTAACAAGAAAAACTTATTTCCTGCAGCCACTACTGACTTGCATGCAGTGGCGCCTTTCATTAGACTCCAGTATTATACATCCTTCCTCAGCTGCCGTAGCCTTTACCTACAGGACTCTCAGTATTTTAACTGTGCAGTACAGCTGTTTAAGGAATTCAACCTCTCCTCCTCAAAGCTCTTCATTTACTTTTGTTATAATGCTTCCATACACATAGGCAATAATACAATCACTAACTTCAATTCCACAAATACTTCTTTAGAATTTATTTTTATGTGGAATATAGGGGAAGCACAGCTTCAAACTCTCTGCAAATTCTGCCTAAGTCCATGTTTGTTTTAGAGGAGAACATCTCCGAAGTCCGTCTAACACACTACCTGTGTTTTTTCATTCTGATACCGTTTGGGATGTACAGACGGCTTACACACCCTAGGATGTATTAGACTAACAGCAGAAGTCCGGTATTCTGAAAAGTCTGAAAAACAATTCTATCCATGTAACAAAACCCTCCTTCCTCATAATTTAAGAGGTGGATAAACAGAACCTTAGAACGTGATTCATAAAAGATCCACAGACCAGTTTATTCCCCAGCTTCATTCCTCTACTGTTTCTTCAGCTCCTACTCCAAAGCAATAATTAGCAATATTAGAGTTTGCAGTAAAAACATGCCAAGTCAAATTGTAAATCTGTAACACAATGTAGGTATAGAAAATGAAGTGGAGATCTTTCAAGATTCAGCATGTGTTATAGGAAGCAGTCCCAACAATTCAGCAATTTTTAAAATTGAACATTTAATTTACTCATAGTTTTGTTCCATGGGGACTTCATACATCTTTCTGGAGAGCGCACGCATGCACACACAAACCAGAGCTTCTAGTTACTTACAGCAATTAAAGAGATCAGGCATTCAGCACAAAGCATAAGCATATATAAACTGTGACACTAGAGAATTCCTAGTCCTGCACCACAAGCATTGCTTCTTTTTCAGATGTATCAGATTTCAACACAAGGCCAAGCCACTGAAGACGCGTTCACACCTCATCCCCTCACAAAAAACAAGACCTAAGTGACTGCCATAGTACATTTTTGGCCTGAACAGCCAATCCACTCCCTGAACTCAGTGAAACACAACTCAGGCTAAGCTCACGTTCTGATTGGCACCTGGAAGCAAAAGCTCACATGATACTCCTCTGACCAAGCAGCCGCATTTCCTGTATTCTGGTAGGATGCTGGTCACAAGACATTTCAAATCCAGACTATACAACCCTACTGTTGACAGGCAGAAGATAGACACCTCCACTGTTTCCCTGAACTGACTGGCGGTCGTGTCTGCCCCAGCACGGAGTGAATATGGCTGCTCTGGGGCAACTCCTGGGACTCGTTTCTTTAGGAAGCGAATATGCTTCCGAGAAATACTGCTAGATGTAAGCACATAGGTAGGCTGTCACTTATTGACTAGAGCACATGGCTACAAGTCGCACAAACTCCAGCTTGGTCTTAGTTCACAGTTCCTAGAAGCGACAAGGCTGCACAACAGAAATATAAGTCTTGACTGCTGACAGGTTCTTCCTGTGAGCATAGGCTGATCTTGAATCCGTCGTCACCAGAGGCAGTGCACCCCTAACCACCGCCAGCCCTCGAGACCCACTCTAGGTCCTCGCAGCTGCAGGAAGAGCACCAAGAGACCGGAAAAAGAGAAAAGTAATTGCTGCTAACTCGAAGGGCTCCCTTTCCTCCCCTCGCCCCGCTCTCCGTCCCAACGCGGCAGCCGCCTGGGAGTCTCCCTGCTCCGGCCTCCGCGGCGCGCACCCAACGACCCTACAGCTACAGCGGCGCCGCGCA